CTCTGCGTATAACGTCTGGTTACCTCTGCACGCGTCTTTTCTACTGTCAACATACTATTCGACTCTGTACGTCAAAAAACGAACTATTTCACGTACTACAGCACTTTACCGTACAAAATCGACTTCATATTTGCCTCTTTTTCATCGGCGTGGTTCTGGGTTGAAAAGTGCGTGTTCCGTGTTTCGCCCCCTTTCATCGGCTCTCCCGAATCGCCTGTGGGCAGGAGAATATGTTCTGGGTTGGGGTGGTGTTTTTTTTGGTCGTGGTACCAATTTTTTCCTTTTAGTTGTAATACCAATCTCTTGTTTGGAAGTCTGATCGGTTTACGTTTATTGTAGCTTTGTTTACTTGGTGATGGCTTCGCTTGGAAGTCGCCGGGGTCGGCTCTTGTTTGCCTGGGAGTAGTGGGGTAGGTGCGAAGGTGTAATGGGGAAGGTGGGGAGTAATGAGACTACTACAGTTTTCGGTGGCTTCTGTACTGCTACAGTCCTCCATTTCCAATACAACATCCTTTTGGCCTCGCAAGCCTATTCTTGTGCTACCTAAACAAGCGACACTATAAATACTTGCGTAAGCTAAGGATTTAGGTAGGAGAAGTGCCGACCAGGCTTTAAAAGGGGGAATGACAATATAAGTGAAAAGAATAGGAGTATAAAGTTTATTATCTAATTTTTTATGTTAGATTTTTATTTAAAAAAAAACTAACTTAATATTTACTTAATATTTATTTATATATTTATTTTATAAATACCTAAAGTTCAAGGTCAACACCGCTGTTGCCGAAGTCTTTTTACACTAATGTGGGGTTTGTACCTTGTACCCTAGCCACTTTCCGGTTATTGCGATATATATGCATACATATGTATATACTATCAATATATAAGTAACGAAAGTATATATGCTCCATAAACGAAGCAAGCATCTCCGGCTGCCTGTAAACACAGCCACTGGCACTAAGCCAGGTAGCTACCTAAGTCGCTGGCATAGCCTTCGATGTTGGTATGTATTCTCTAATCTGTATAGTAAGGCGGAGTCGACAAACAAATGAATTATAAGGTGAGCTATTTGCAACTAGGTCGTTGTTAAGTTGGTGGTCTTGCCAGACACTATTGCACGAGAACGCTCTGGTACATCAAGATGGCCCAGAAAAACGCCTGTGAACACGACGAGCTACTACTGGAGTGCTCTCCGTGGGCTGACGAGGCCGGATTCGAGCGACTTGATGCTGCGAAAAGACTCGCAGCGATAACCAAGACAGGCCGTAATCCTCTTGCAAAGAGAGGAAAGTCGGCAAAAACTATCAAGAAACAGAGTCAAGAGACCGCTGAACGACTCTCACCTTCGTTTCCAGGCCCCCTCTTACTGCCCAAGGATGAGCTAAATTGGGATCCTGATTACCCACCTCAGTCGTTTCGATACTGGCTCATCGAAATCCCGCGAAATAAGCTCACACCCGAACGACAGACTCTCTATGTTGCTCCGCCGCCGATTATCACATCAGACGTGAGCTTCATGAATGGTTGGGTAGAGCCAACGACAGCCTTGACAGATGAGTTGAAGGAATGCAAGCCACCCTCGGCCGACGCCTCCCTACAGTACCTAAGTGCCTTTTATCATGGCCTTCCCGTCAGATTCTTTCCGCGGGAGTTACGCTTCGTGCCATGGGTAGAATCTTCACGGCGCACAGGGCTAGGAAATAGCCATGGTTATGTCGGCCTTGCATACAATGACTTCTGCACTCGCATCCGCACTCGAGAAACCCCAGACAAGAGGTTTAAGAGACAGCTGAATTTGAACGATCTCCTAGATGCGGCCATTGGAATGTTGCCAGACGACGCTCACTCGATTGTTTTGCTCATGGATCTCGATATGTACGAGGATGACGATGACGATTTCTGCTGCGGACGTGCATACGGTGGGAGTCGCGTATGTGTTGTATCTTCGGCCCGGTATCACCCAGCCCTTGATGTAGATGCGAATATCGACCATGAGCACATGTGGCCAGCTTCACACTGTAAGAGGTTCGCAGACAGCCTATGCGCCGTAGAAGAGCTAGAGCCACAGGAACATGTAAAGTCAATATACGACACTCCGGATTCGCCCTTACGCCAGGCTGTCGGAGCAGCTCGGGGGAGCACTACACTGCCAAGTGTTGAAATCTGGAGTGGATTATGGTTTTCACGCGTTGCGCGCACGTTGGTCCATGAACTCGGCCACTGCTTTGGAATGGATCATTGTGTCTATTACGCTTGCAACATGCAAGGTACATCTGGCATGGCGGAGGACGTGAGACAGCCACCATACCTGTGCCCTGTGTGCCTGGAAAAGGTAGCGCACGCCATTGCTTGTGAACTCCAAGTGCGAGATCAAACAGGTAAGGAGGAATACATCAAGGAGAGATATAGGGCGATTGCTGGGTTCTGTGAGTCATGGAAGCGTATAGGCCTCTTTGCTGGTTATAGTGCTTGGGTACGGGCGCGACTTCGACAGATCTCAGCCTAGATAGATCGGAAAAGAAAGAAAAGACCACGAGCAAGACGCGCGCACGCAGGCATCCTATCTATATTTTAGCGCTGCCATATCCCCAGATAGCTCATCTATGGGTGCGCTTGGCACAATTAGGGAAATGTCTAAATTACCTATCTATTCGAGTCCTTCATCTTGCTACAATACTTCAATCAGTTTAGATGAGTGCACCTGGGAACTATTTGCTTTTAGCTACCGCCAACCGGGATTTCTATAAGTATTTACTCTTCAGGTAGCAAGGCACAGAGTATAGCTTATAAGCCATCTAAGATGCCCGAGGAGCTCCAGGCCTTGAATTACTAAGGTTTTGCATATGCATAATCCCGCGATGTAAATTGCTGAGCGAGCTAGCGATACAACTATGCGTCTGTAAATGACCCGAAAAGGCAGCGCCGAAAGCGCCAGGCAGATAAAACGCAGATCCAACCCGGAATAGAGATATCATGCCTCGGCGCTATCCGCAAAAAGCACTTTTGAGTCCTATCCCCAAAGTCTACAGCAAATAATTAAACGCCACTACACGGGCCGTATGTCAGCTCCCATTGACAAGCAACCTATTTCTGCTCGACAGTCTAGCTATATACTTCACGATGTTATCAACTCCCTGTGGTACGATTTTGAGAAGCGACCGGCGAATTGACCCCGAGCGAAATGGAGAACGGGCAACTGAACGGCTCCACCACCGAAAATATAGGTGTAAGTGAGACAGAGAACGGAAAACTAAACGTTTCCACCACCGGACTCACGGCTCATGAGCAACAATCTTTCCGGTCCTTTATTGAGCAATGTCGCGACGGGGGGCTCCTCGAGCGCCCTACGGGCTTATCGGCGGAGGATGCTCTGGATGGCTTGAATGATGAGATCACATTATTGTACCAGAGTACCTTACTTACCCTTACATTTACAATCGGACACTGACCGTTTCTTAGGCGTTTCCTCTGCGCTCGCTCATTCGACGTTTCCGGAGCTTTACAGCAGTTTAAAGATGCCCGTACGATACGCAGTTCCGTGAATTCGACCGAAGCATACAATAGTATAGATATCGCTGACTTTGAGCACCTGCGTGGCATGGTTTGCAGTCGTCGTTCCACTGTCTGTTAAGTCTAAGATAACTAACACGCCAGAATACTAGTACCCCCATTGGTCAGGCCAGCGAACCAAACATGGCCGTCCAATATGCACTCTCGACGCCGCCAATCGTACGTAGTTCATAGACCATTTTCCTTAAGTCTTTTGTAAGACTACCAACAGTCCTGTTCGAGCTCGCATCATGTCTATCGGCATTTCTGCGCTTCTGACATACTCGCAGACCACACTCAAACTACTGAATACTGACCTACCAATTCTTACAGTGGAGGGCCCAAACTTTGCAAGCTACCACAGCTACACCCCGGCCCAGGTTACGTGCCGCGCCATCACGTCTCTCGACTACCTCACACGTTTCGTGCTACCTCTATGCTCTATAATGGCCGACCGGCCGGACCCCCACCTACCAGTTTCAAACGCGGTATACCTTGTCGACATAACCTCTTTAAGTCTCAGACAGGCCTGGAATATACGAGGATATGCGCAAAGCGTCACCGGGCTGTTAGCGACATGCTACCCCGAGGTCGTTGACAAGATTTACCTTCTCAATGCGCCTCCCTCCTTTTCCAAGATTTGGGCGTTTGTAAAGGGCTGGATTGACCCCAAGACAGCAGCCAAGATAGTGATCGTCTCCTCAGCAGACATCATGGCCACGCTGCTAGAAACGATCGATATCGAGTGTATACCGGAGCGGTATGGTGGCAAGTCGACGGCCGAGAGCGGCAAGGTACCTTCTATTGACGGCTTGAATGGGCTATTAGGCGTCGAGGAACTGCCAGACGGGCCAATTAAATGGACTGTAGACCAAGGAAATAGGGCTGCGGTCGCTGTTGGAGCAAGGGAAGGAGAGGTGCGCAGGGAACTATTAGGTCCTATTAATATCAAAGCAGCTCTCTGATATTTAAGAATACGTCTGGAAACTTTGGTAAGGGCTAGGTATGACGAGCATTGAGTAGCACCGTTTGATGATAAAAGCGCCTCGGGGCACAGGGATTTCCTTTGCACATCACCCTGAAGAAGTCTCAAGGTTCATTTTTATACAGGTCTAGCGATACTACACACATTTCAATAAAGGAAATACGAAAATGGGGTGCGGTCGAGATTGTTCTCAAGGTTAAGTTAATTCAATATACTCTGTAGATACGTAGTCAATGCCACCGTACCAAAAGGAAGAGCTCTTAGATAGATAGGTTAGTGGTTCGAAGATTCAGAAAGGACTCCACTGTAACTTAGGTCTTGGTATTTATTGGTGGGTAGGGTGAATTGGCTCGCCCTACCTCAGAATTTGTACGCAAGATCTCATCCATCACCATTACGAATGGAGATCTCTTATGCTAAGCTTGGAAAGAAAAATATATATATATTAGGAAAAAATAAAAACATAGTACTCTCGATCGGGGAATCGAACCCCGGCCACCTGCGACTTGTTCCTTGATGAATGACAAGCAGGTATCCTTACCACTAGACCAATCGAGATATCAGGTGTGTGACGGGAAATCATATCGGCTTACATAAATAGGATGGTGGACTACAACTATAGTAAAGGATTACATTCTACATTAGACGGTCCTTCTCTTAGTGAGACAAATTTTAACTTTTAATGCGTTAAAAATTTGCCGTTGCATCGCTAAAGGGTTAGACGGGTGTTAAATTCGTTAGCAGTAACGAAAAAAGCCGTCAAGGATCAATAACATAGAATCGTATTAGTAGACATAGGACAACTGAGTATCATGGTTACTACCTTTCTTCAGGAAGATCAACTAGCTTCGTAAAATGATCTGATCTATTTTATTTTATTCTAAATGGTCTAACAATGGGGATTCATTCACGCTACTACTATGTCATGCTAAGTAGACTACCTAGGTAGCTCAGTAGTAGTAGGCCACATCATGCTACCAATAACATAATCGAATTCAATACCATCTGCGGTCATTCGATACATCTTTGGGGAATAAAATCCCAAGAGTTGTAATGGGCAAGATCTAACTTGAGGCTGTAAGTAAGTTATCCGATACTAACGGACTATACGAAGTTGTTGACAGGTGATTAGAGGCGAATATCGACGTTTCATTCGAGTAGTAGAACACAGGACGGTCCGGCTTTTATCTCCGCTCGGAATTCCGGAGAGGTTCGGCCCTATGCTTCGGGCGATAGATTCAGATGTCGCGATGTAGCCGACAGCTATTCCTTCTAGATCCGAGTAGCTTCAGCTTGCCTCTAGCCCATGTAAAACAACTATAATACTCTAATTTGATCAGATATATACACTAGCAGACCTAGTGCTCCGAGGGACTTCGGATTGATCGCTCGCTTATGTCATGCAACTTGGGGATCTCTCGTACGACTTGGTCATCAATAGCTTCAAGGAGGGGGTTTTGAGGCTTATATTCTACTCACAATAGCATCGTTATCGTTCGTACCATGACATACATCTACCATACACTTCAATATAAAAACCAGCTGTTTTCTCTCTCTCTCTATAACTAGGAACTACCTGCAACTCACCAGCAATTCGCACATCGCTAGCTTTTCAAACCTACTCCTCGTTTCTAATCAGCACAGATCAATATGACTACTAACGGCGCCCGCCTCCATGTAGCTATCGTAGGCTCCGGCATTGCTGGTCTAGCTGCAGCTCGCATTCTCCGGGAGAGTCATGATGTCACGGTGTACGAGCGCGGGGAGCCCTCCGTTGTGATTGGAGGGCAGGGTATCGCGAACTTCCCAAACTCAACCCATATCCTCCAAAGTATGGGATTTGACTACAAACGCGTAGGGTCCGTCGAGCTGGGAGGTTGGAAAACCGTCGACAAGTCTGGAAACCACCTCCATAGCACCGACCATGATATGAAAAAAAGATATGGCTCCCCACTCGTGAGCCATATGCGAGTCGATGTTCGCACGGAACTACTGAGGTTGGCCACCGCCCCTCCCGAAGAGTTAGGTCTTGATGCGAGCGCGACCCCTACAACCGTAGTTTGGAATAACGGGGCTGTCGACCTAGATCCTGAATCTGGGAGAGTCACATTGGAAGATGGAGCTGTGGTCGAGGCAGATATTGTTATAGGTGAGCGAGATCTAGATTTATTCTCACTATATTCTGTGTTTGTATCGGAATTAATATAATATTACAGTCGCGGACGGTATCCATTCCCGACTACGCAATAAGATACTCGATGAGCCCGTCGCCCCTCGAAAGACCGGAATGACCTGTTGTCGCGTCGCCGTATCAGCGGAAGAAGTCGAGAAAGCCCTTGGGAAGCTGCCGCGTTGGTGGGAGGAGCAACGTGAAGCAGGACAGGGATATATGCGCCTCGTCGAAGCATTGGATGGCACGTCACGGCTCCTAGTGGCGTATCCCCTTCGAAACGCGGCTTGGATGAACATAGCATGGATATTCCAGACCCAGAAGGAGAGGGAGAGCACGACAGAATCGTGGAATGCGGATGGCGATCGAGACGAAATTTTGGGGATTTATGCCGATTTTGATAATGAGCTGAGAACAATGCTACGGTGAGTCGTTGAGAGTAGGTTTAGACTATATTTCGTTGACTGATAGAGACTAGGGTTGCCTCTGAAGTCAAGCTGTGGGAACTCCAGGATCTTGAACCCTTGCCAACCTGGATCTCGGGACGAGCAATCCTCATTGGTGACGCCGCTCATGCGATGACACCGTTACAGGGGCAAGGTAAGACTCGCCATGGTGTTACATTCGATTCCGTGCTGACCTGGCGGGTAGGATCGAACATGGCTATCGAAGATGCCGACGGGCTTCGCCTTCTCACACAACCTGGCACGACGCGAGACACCGTGCCAAAAATACTAAAGAAGATTGATGATATTAGAAGACCCCGTGCGACGAGGGTGCTCATGAATACTCGCTCTGCCTCCCAGATTTCCGATGCCGCCGATAGGTACGCGAAGTTCGATGAAAATTGCACATACCCAGGCATATTGAGTATCCTTAAGCAACAAACCGCAATGACGTAGCAATTACCCGGGGATGCTGTTGAATCCGCTCTTTTAAAAATTTGTATCGCTATGCTGAAGGCACTCCCATAGTTCTTTTTTTCTGCCTGTCACTTACTGAACAATACTCTTGTAACGGCCTTTTTCTAGGGTAGAGGCTTGTTTACCATAGTCCAGACTGCTACTAGTTACGATATGACTAATTGTTATTGCACGAGGAGGGAATGTATGGCTGGAACAGCAGGATCTACTCTAGTAGCTTACATAGTGCCGGCTGAAGCCTGTGTTATAGTTCTGGCCTGCTTGAGGTTCAGTACCGTCGCATCGTTATTCTAGTCTAGCTAACCATACTGTTTTAAATCACATCTAAATCATATCTCTTGGACCTTTAGTTGTATTGCTTATAGCCGAGCTCTTATTGTTACTAGAACCCAAAACGTGACGAACTATTCATAGCCAGTAGCTAATAGTATTTTAGGGGTAGATAATAGTACTCAAACATATATATCACGCTGTGAATTGCCAACATCTGAAGATTAGAGCTTGTCATAACTGTAGAAATAATTGAACTATCTATTGGTGGTTTTTTAGACTATAGTTTCGTAGCTTTGTCTAGAGAGTCTAGGATGAGATTCCATTATTCAAGGCTTTCGATTTCAGCTATGCGCGAAAGGATCTCTTGGTCTCCAAGGCAGAGCCGGAATAATGTTGCTAATTGATCAAGAAAACTCTCCGGCTGTTGACTCTCGAAAATTTTCGACCTCGCTTTTGGCTCGCGGTAGACCGAGGCTAGGTGGCTGGCGAATGATTTTCCTTCGGGATATTCAAGACTGCCTAGGCGTAGAAGAAGGTAGTCTTTCACGGCTTGGTTGACCTTATACAGGTTTGCTCCGAATTGAGCTAGAACAAAGGCAGTATCCCAACTCTCAGCCATGATAGCACGGCTTAACAACTCGCTACCTTTCTCCAGGCTATTGTGAAGGCTATAGCAACCTTGGCGCTCGCAACTACCGTAATACTTTTGAGACGCATTCCAAGGTAGTAAACCAGCTAGCTCCGTAGCCTTGTTATTATCGATGATGCTTGCTAGGTACTTCATTGCGTACTCACCACGCAGAGCCACTATCGATCGAAAAGTTCGAAAAGATAGTCCTCCATTCCCCATGGAGGCTTCAAATAAGAGCTTCTCGATCTCCTGCAAGTTTTCAAGCTTCGACCGCTCGACGTAGTGTTCAAGAGACTCACGGATTTTACGCATCCTCCTTGGGCTACCTACAAGGGACCAATCGTTGCCAGGCTCGTAAGTAGCTGCCTGGGAGTCGAGACGGCGATCAAGAAACCCCTGATGGCAAAGAAATGCGATAAATTTTGTAGTAACGGGAAGACCGGCGTCGGTCGAGGCTGCGGTCGCAGCGACATCCCATATAGCCATCATTGCATTACTCGATAAGATGTCCAGGGCTAGAGCGGCAAAATCCCAGTACTCCTTTTCAACGATTGCCCTAATTAGTTCGTCCAAGGAGCCGGCCGGAAGCCTACCCCCTCGAGCCCGAAGTCGTGTAAGGTTAGTCGAGAGCCAGTCGATAGAATCAGTTTCCAGTGCGAATTTCAAAGTCAGGGGGATTAATGGATCTTGAAGATTCAGGAGGCCCAATGACGTGAAATAATTCAATATTCTCTTAATGCCTGTAACAACTGCCACCCACAAGAAGTATCTCTCGCTTACAAATACGTTTCTCGTGAGGTACATTGCGATGTCTTCTTGGTTTTGAATACACGCTAAAACAAAGGCGCGACTGCGCCCACGAAAGTGATCCATTCCAGAGCGTAAAATCATGGGGTTCCAAGGTTCTTGGCCCACGTCGGAATAAAAATGCTCATATGTCTCCTCAATGTTTGAGATTTTGCCGCGTCTATCACCAACGACCAACCCACAGCCCGACTCGATTAAAAGCTTGACTACCTCCAAACGATGAGCCGTGATAGCTGCTTCGACGGCAGTAGGGAAAATATCTGTGTCCCAAGCTTCGTCGAGTACAGGTGATGACTCTACTTGAAATATCGTTAGTACTGTCCTGATCTTGTCAAGGCTTTCGCTTTGAATGGCATGTACAAGACTTGGTAAAGTGGGAGGATGCTGTTCTCTCTTGAATACTGGGTCAGAGATCAATCTTTTATGATAACGTGCATCTTTCAAGTATAGCAGTGAAGGCTTACTGCTCACAATGATGCAGTCCATAGTGGAGGAGGCGCAGCCGAGATTTAGCAAGGCCGCCGGAGTCTGTAGCTCATCAACAACCATCTCCAGTAGCTCCAATGGGAAGCCCCGGGGGCGAGACTGCTGAGGCTGAGAATCCATGACGAGGTAGTGAGTTTTCTTGGGGGTTAGAAGGTAATCTCGAAAGGTTCGGCTTTGTTTTCTTTTGTTTGTTCTCAACAGAAATCCTTTAGTGAGGACTATGTAGCTTGATTGTTCGAATATTGAGTAATTATGGCATGTATAAATA